CGTTACTACTCGAAACTCTATGCAGAAGCACTTCAAATCGAAAAGCAAATACGCAACACCAAGACTTTAAATTTAAACAACACACCCAGCACCAACAACAATAAAGCAATGATCAACAATAATCCACATGTAGACGTTGCTAGATACCGCGAGGACATCTAGACAACGCCCCACCAACAACAACAGCGGAAAGCACGTTTTGCACGAATCCCCAATATCTCCATACAAACGCCTCTTTAGGCAGCAACTGCGACGCCACGGCACACGCAAACTTTCAAGTAGATGCTGTCGACAACGCACCCAACCAACAACAGCAGAAAACACACAAATACAGGACCCGGTGTGACGCTGCATAAACAAGCATGCAAGATGCTTTCTACTGTTGCGACTTTCGGAGGTGCGCGGCGACGGTTGACGAAGGCCGTCCGTCAAGTCTAGGTACGCAGATGCGTGTCTACCGTGGATAGCTCAACTTAAACTTAGGATGAATGAGCTTACATCGGCATTGCCCAAGTGTACGCGCCACGGCGGTGCATTTTGCCGGGCGGTGACGCTTTAGGACAAGTACCTGGATCAACACAGGGATCAAGCAATCGAGTACTTTGGGATCAGTCTACGCTGAGCAGCAAATAGTCTGTACACATGATACACATAATCCTACAAAGCCAACAAGCACGCTCTCAACACCAACGGATTACCGAGCTAAGTGTTACAAGCCTAGCTGGGTTGTCACAGGAAAGTGTCTTCGCGGTCGGGAAGCAGGTCTAGTTGTTATTGATACCCACGAGTACTGGTTCGTCTTGACCCTCCTCATGTTCATAGAACGAGTTAAACAGAAAGAGGACACTCCTGCCATTGCTCTTGCAGCTCTGAGGTGGAGACACGTCCTGAACCACGAGGACTTTCAGGATCCTGGTGCTCTTTGGTATGAGGCAAAAGACTTGTGATTTGCAGTTTTGAAACATCTTGATAGCTGCTGCTTTAGAGTCCTGAGAAGAGCCTGAAGGTGCTGAATTGCTGCACGGCCCAATCCGATTGGCAGTGGCGGGCTCTCCTGCTGCGGCGGACGAGACAAATCTTGTGCTGCCAAGAGCGCATTCTCGTGCTCTCATTTCGCAAGCGGCCTTCCGACAAGGGCTCAGCGTGGGAAAACCAGCATGCCTCGACCCGAACATGTGCTCAGTGCGCAGGCTTCGCCCTTGAAGCTGCTGCAACCGTCGTCCAATGCTTGCAGACAAAGAGCATCTCCGAGGTGACATCTCCCACGACGTTGCAGGTGCTTGCACAGAATGGCTCCGCCTCGGCGGAGCAGCTGCGCAGCAAGCCAAAATCCACTCTGCGGATCTTCACTTATGCATATGCGTATGCATGTGTGTATGCGTGTGTAGATAGACACATGAATGAATATATATATATATATATACATAAATATAAATAAATAAATATATATATATATATATATAGATTGTTTGTCGCACCACCACGATCCACCCCGTCGAAGCCTTCTTGCGAACCGTTCGTCTGCAGTATTTTGTCTCGAAATGCTGTCTCCGAGGTCCAGAAACCATCGGTANNACCTCTACTTCTTGTGCTTGTTTGTGGTATATGTAAACCACCCCAAACCCAAACCAGAATCTGTTCTGCGTCCGCGCGAAACATTTGAGAATTGAGAAAGACACGGGAAAGCTCGATTGTTTCTACATAGTTGGTGTTAGTTCTTTCATTAGACATCCTCTTCCATCACCGAAACGCAAGAAAGCTCCGGAGTCCCGTATCAGTGGCTAAAACTCAACAGGCACTTACAACCTGCCAAGGTCAGAAAAGTAAATCTTGCTGTTTCGGAAAAGAAGTGGTCTCCCTCCCTCCACTTGATGCACTCGATCACAAGTAATGCGCTTTGTAACACGAAGGAAACAACTGCTCGATTCTTGACACGATGTGGAATCTGACAACTCCTGTTACAACCAAGACTCCTTCGCGCGATACTACCAGCAAGAAATCAAGAGAGCTGCTATATCGTTCATGAAGACATGAAACGGCTCCTGCCTTCTCACCGCAGCCTCATAACCAATCAAGAAACCGTCTGCATTTCTTAAAGCTTTGGAGAGCTTTGGAAAGCTGCCAAAGAATTCCGCTACATATCTTGCACAGCTTATCTCGATGAAGAGAACACTAGTATCTGAAGAGAGCCGAGCCTTTTCTAACCATGAGCAGAAATAAGAAAGCTCCTTCAGTTGATGTTCAAAGATACAATAGCATCATTGTGTGAATATGAAACGTGAGAGCTCCGTTGTCTCTCTTACGCAACGAGCGAGGTACTGTAGTCTTCGCAACAACACAGGCCTCGACCAGCTCGAAAAAGAAGCCACATCTATGCAACAAGAACAACAAATGCAACAAGCAATAATACGGCTACTGGTGCTGCTACAACTACCATCGCTTTTGTTACCGCTCTTTTTAATGCTGTTTGTTATTCATTTGGTTCCAGATTGTGAAATGCCGCAGGCTCAAACTTCACCAACATTTGCAAAGCCTGAAATGCGAGAACACTGGCAGGGATCCAAAATTCCACTGATGGCTCAGCCTTGACAGTTCTGTGGAATTTTGGTCTCTGCCGATGTTGTCGCATCCGACGCGGGGGAAATTTGGTCTCTGCCGATGTTTTCGAATCCGAGGTTGCCAAAGTGCCACCACGCTCAAACTTCCCCAAATTTGTACAGCCTGACATGCAAAAACAGTGGCAGGGATCAACTTTCTGGCAATTCCTAAAATTAAAATCCCTGGCATCTAATCGGGATCTTACGGGAACATTTGATCCCTGCCGATGTTTCGCATCTCACCTGACATGATTCACTGCCTACACAAAATCATGGGGACAGGGGCGTGGTGAGCATACGTGTATATATATATGCATATATATATATAGACTTACTTAGTTATTTCAATATTGCATTATATTGCTATGTTTGTTTATTTATACTATCTATCTATATATATATATATGATTTTTTTCTTTATGATTATATATATATATATACATGTGTGTGTATGTATATGCACACATACACTATGTAACAACGTATATGTGCATCAACCTTGCCAGCACAAGCGGACCAGGCGCAAGCTTGCCGAAGCTCTTCATCTCCGTGTGCATACCTGCACCCCTGGCCACGCTGGCAACGGCCTTCCTGCCAGAACTTGCCTCAGCCAAGCGCTGTGCCAGCAGAAACCGTTTCCTGTACATGCTGCCGAGGGGCATGGCTGGGTCTTGTCGTACCTTCCGAGCTGCCAGTCCTGAAACGACATGCTTCTTGCCTCTGCATGCTCGTCTGCGTCCTGGTGCCACCCAAGCACACGCTTGTAATTGCTGTAGTCGAGAGGTGGAGCTGCTGGTCCCAACGATGGCGTGTCCTTGGGACATGGAAGCACTGAGCGAGTCCACCTCGCTCACAGCATTAAATACTGGGCGCAGCGGCAGCTTCTGAGGCGGTCGTGGAAGCAGCGCTCTTCCCCTGTCAACGCGCTGTCTTTCCCAACCACGCTGATGGGCTGAACAGTTTGCTCTCAGGTGGCCTCGCAGCCGCCTCAGAGGGAGAGCATGAGTTTGCACGCAAGAACAAACCAAAAACAAATCCATCTTTCAGACTGCTTCGAAGTCGCTCCCAAGCTCTTTTTCCTCAGCTGATTTCGCTGTCTGTTTCACTGTTCAACGATTGATCACTCGGCAAGCCTCTGGACATGTTAACCAGAATAGCTCCTTGCATCTGGGCTGCATCACCGCTGCAATTGGGATCCCCAGCAGCCTCCTCTTCCACGGTGTGCCTCATCCCAGCAACAGGATGCACGAGTCGCCTGGCAATTTGGGTCTGTTGCGCCTGTATAAGCAGTCTTGCCCCAGGCGGCAGTACCTTATGCGCCAGGGTCATGTCATGAACACATACGAAAAGTGACGTGGCGGCAGTGACGGCACTTCTGCGATGGGCGTTGCGTCAGCACACAGCAAACACTGCATGTGTGATAGTGCAAGCGCGGCACCCACTTGCATGAAACTGGCATAACAGCGCTTTGCACGCTAGTCTCTTTTCTTCCTGCCATCTTATTTCAGGTTTTCGAAATCACATATGTTGTACCTTTATGAAGTTGCAGCTCCTCACCGTGTGCATACTTGCAATCGCCACGCTGACACCGGTTCTTAAGCCAGAACTTGCCTCGGCTGCCACAGGGTTGGCTTTAAATCGAGAAGCGGCTCCAAAGGCAGCTCAGGCACAAATCAAGGTCTTGTCGGATGTCATCCTGGGGAGGTGAAGATTGAGCCATGAGCCGACACGGCACTTGGCACTGTCACCATCTTCCCCCGCGCCTTCTTGCGCGGCTTGAGGCATCACCTCACGACAGGTCAGGTTTTCGCTCCGGCGGCCCGCAATGCGGTTCCCTCGCCTCGCTGAGGCTTCGGGTTGAGACCGGGTCTTGAGCCAAGTACACTGCGAACCGGACCGCAGGCGATCTGACAAACTGGCTACCCATTGCCTGACAAAACTGCTGAGCCGTGTCACTGAACAAACACGACGGGGTTGCCTTTCCTGGGCTCTATGTGCTAGCTGCTGGGAACCGAAAGATCAGCTGCGCGAGGCTACACGGTGCCGGACTGTGCCGGGAGTTCTCGACACTCTCCTTCCCCGTGCACAAACTCACTCTTACAGACACGCGCGCTTTACCAACCTGAGCTGCATAGTCACATCTTGGCGAATTCAAACTCGTGCTGTACCGTCGGTACAGCCGAGATGCTGGGCATACGGGGACAAAGGAGACAAAGACAGCCAGGATTTTTGGCAGTTCTCTGCAACACGCCCGCCATGAGTGGAGGGTGACACTGTGTGAAACTACCCAGCTCAGCTCACAGAAACGACATCGCGGCTTTTCTTTGGTCGCTAGTCGATGTGGAGGCGGACGAGGCAATTCGGGCTCTCACCCCAAAGGGGTGCCTGTCGCACTTTTGTCGTCTATCGCCAACTGGATTTCTCTGGATATTTCGGAGGGGATATCGGCAAACCTGCCATTGACCTGAGCAGCAAAGGCGTGTGAATTGGCAGCGCTTGCTGCTCCTCCCTTCGTCTCTGTGGCTGCTGCTCCAGGTGAGCCTTGCCCGGTGACCCCGAGCCCACGTGTGGCAGGAGAAGTGGGACGGACTTTGACGCTGCCATTCCTTCAAATGCAGAATCTGCCGCAAGCATGGCGAGACCACCAGTCACCGTGCCTGGCAGGGGCACCATGGGTCGCTCTGCCGGCCTGCCGACAGAGCACGACTTGCTGCGAAGATGGACTTGCAAAACCTCTCTTCTGAGACTCGAGTCTTCGAGTCCTCTCGTCCATGGCCGGTGCCAGGTGCGTGTATTGGTGAGGCGTCTTACCTTTTCGATATTCATCGATATCTCATTGATGCTCGAAGTGTCAAGAGACAGCTGCGACACTGCACTCGGTCCAAGGCGGCTTCGCACCCGGGGCTTCGCGTGGTCCTATCACGAATCCACGGCTGCAAGCGCATGCAAGCGCAAACTGAGCTTCATATCCCGGCCTTGCCATAGGCCGCATCTTTGAGCTCGCGGACGAGCTCCATGCCTCGAGCCAAGAGCTGTGAAGGCCACATCCCCTCTTCGACCTCCGAGACATTCCGAGACCACGGCTTCCCACCGACGGATGGTTGACGACTTTCCTGCAGTCACAGCTTGAGGCTCCGGAGACTTTGTTACATCTAGTGAAGCTTTGGCGCATTTGATCTGCGATACTGCCAAATGGACCACCCCGTACCTGGCTTGAGGAAACGACGGCTTTCAGAATAAACTCTACCAAGCCGAGGCTGCTTTGCCTGCGTGGTGTGCTCCATGCGGATCTCTTGCAACTCAACCCCGCAGAGGACGCTGTCATCCGCATCGACCTACGAGCACTGCGCTCTTGTGTTCGACTCTTGTGAAACCCGGCGGGACCCGCTGACTGACTTCGCCTTGTCCTGCAATCGGCAGAAATTCCCTCGGCCTAGGGACATGACAAAGCCATCACCCCAACCGCACACAACATCATCTGCCGCACCGTAGGGCTCTCTGTCTGCGTAGTGGTGGTCCCAATTCCTCACCTAGGGGACAGCATGGGAAAGATCTTCAGCCCAAGTTCTCCGCGCAAGGCTTCCCCGAGTCTCACGCTGCATCGCCCACGAAGGCCTTGCACTTCACGTGCATTCCTGTTCAGATGAGGCGGGACAACAGAGTCGTTGCACCAGCCGAGGTTCAAGGCAGCGCGTAAACGGAAACAACATGTTCAGGGAGAGTGCAACTTGCACACATGTCTCTCTTCTTTCTTTCTCGGGTATTGCATTCTGCTGCATCAAGTCTCAGATTCGTTGCTTTCCATTTGAGGGGTTAAGGGTTCAGGGCCAGCGCATCGGTTGGGTTGCCTCCTCTGGCCTATAAGTCACCCTGAACCGCAGCGTGCAAGTGGAATTGTAGCCAACACCTCCGGCTCTCTGTCTCCCCTCTTCCTTCGAGAACAAGGATGTCGGATGTCCTGCCCATCAGCCGACTGTGAGTCGGTTCAACAGAAGTGAGTCGGTTCAACAAAACGGAGAATAATGAAATCGTGCTGCTCCACAGAGCTCTCGGCAAGCTCCCTTTTTCTGCTGGGCGTAGGGGCCGCCCCAAGCCCGCCCCTTCATGGTGCTATTGAGTGAGTAGCTTTGGCGCATCATTGCAAACACGATAGTGTGGAAGACTGCTGCTCTCTTCATGATGGAGCCCGTAGCCCGCTTCCCGGGCTCATCCCGGTGCCACCTAAGGCCCACCACACATTCACTGCACTGTCTCACGGCAAGCCAGATGTTGTAGTGGCAGCAACAACACCACCAACAATCCACAAGATGCATGCTTGTCAAGTTGTGGTTCCGTCTGGCTTAAAGGCAGATTGGCAACGGCGGTCCCCGGACCTCCCTCTTCCCGCCTTACTTCCTTCCTTCCTTCCCTGCCAGGGGTGAGTCCAGGTTCCTGGACCCGCGCCTCGCTCTCTCTTTATCTCTTTCTCTATTCTTCTTACGGGTGCTGATGGCCCTACCCATGAGGAAGAATCTCCCCCTCTCTCTCTGTCTCCCTGCTTCTTCTCATTAGTATTCATCTCTCTCGCTCTCTTTCGGGGTTTGGGGGCTGGCTGTGGCTGGCTTGGATCTTCGGATATCGGGTATCGGATCACAGCAAGTCGTGAGAACCCCGGAACACCCTTGATTTGTAGATCATTGAAGCGCAGCTCAAGTGTGCTGTCTTATCGAGTCAGCGCAACCTTCCATGCCACTAAACTTGCATCAGCTTCTGGTCCTTTCGGGCAAAGCAGGAAGAAGCCGCAGGTTTCCTGACAAGAGGGGCACCAGTGACTTGTGTTTGACGGTAGATTTTCTTGCAATTCCTGTCCTCACCCTTGGCTCTGTAGCCCAGCGGATACAGATGTAACCTGACATACTGAGTGGGATTCTCCTACACATCCTGCTTGGACAACTCTTGGCGATCGGCTGGAGCCCTTCGAAACCACCCGCTGCGAAGGGAGGGGAGACGATGGGCTCCCAGGCCTTCGCGAAAGACGACGTCTTCAGTGTTGCATCGCTGCACAGAGCAATACAAAAGCGTCAGCCCGGGCCTCCTCTGCGCCGAGCTCGTTGGCTGCAGCTCGCCTCTTTGGAGGCATGTCTGCAAAAGTCTGCAGGCATCCGTCAGTCTCGGAAACCCACGCCACAGCTACTCGCTCGGAGATTCGACCGACTCGCCATTCGATTCGTTTGACCTTATGCCGCTTTCTAGAAACTGTATCTCATGTGCATGTCTAGTACATGTGAATTGTTGGCCAGCTTCACCGAGCATCGCTAAGTGCCAGGGCCATCAACGAGCGAACTGCTGTAGCTTCTCGCGCTGCTGCCTTGCTGCGGCTTTCAGCTTCCAGGCTGAGTTGACCGTGTTCAGGCAACTTTAGAAGATCCATGACGCCGGAACTGCTGCCTGCACCGCATCTGCAAACTTGACCGACGCTGTCAAGCAGGGAGGGTAATCGACCTACCCGCTCTCGCCATGGAGAACATGTCTTCTGTGCAACCACATCCACACCATCGTCATGACTTGCGGTCGCCTTTGTCAGCGGCGCGGTGATATCCAGAATCTCCAGGCGCACCTGAGCTCTCCAAATCGGGGAAAACGTCTGCACGTGCACCTACTGATATACCTGTAGCATCTTGCAACGTACGCTCACATGCACATGCAGGCACACGTGAAATGCGGCACGGTAGCTTCTGGCGGAGGGTTTACCGTGCATTGTTCTTGGGCTTCAAGCCATCATATTGAGGTAATGTGGCGGACACCCGAAGAACTCAGTGAAAGAAGCAGAGGCCAGAACGTTCATCGTCTTGTCGACACTGTCCAGGACCTGCGGTCTGTTGCTGGCACTTTCCAAATATTATAAATCCTCAAACCCAAACTTGAGCTCCTAACCGCCAGTCGCTGCGATCCCCACTCGGGAGCTTCGTCGAACTCTGCCGCAAAAGACCTGAGAACTGAGAAAGCTCTGATGCCTGGAGCCATTCGGCAACCGGTCAACCAGGCGATACATCTTTCGTCAATGATCCGTCCCACCGAGCTTCCACAATCAGGCTGAATGCTGCAAGCTTTGACGAAGTGTGTCTCGCCAGCTACGGTGCTCATCAGTTCAATGCTTGGCTCTTCCCTTGCCGAGTACATCGTGGTGCAAGCTGTAGTGTGGCAGTGCGGCACACAGCAAAACGAGGACCACCCGTCAACTGGAGGGTATCAAGTGTTGGCGTCCTTGCCATATCTTTGTGCGAGGCGTGCTCCGGCATAACAGAAAACAAGTGACAGACATCTGTTCGGTTGTCCGTCTGTTTGAGCGGCAAGATTTGCTTCGGAGCTACAGTAGTGCCCGGAATCAGCTGCCTTCTTGGTCGTCCGCAATCGCCCTCTCGCTTCCTGCCTCGCGACTAGACTGATGCTTTGATGCATCAATGCAGCTTTGCATCCGCAGTCGGCAAGTAAGCCGGACAGGGCTCTCACTTATGCACCATGCATGGAGTCTTGAGATGAGAGAGGGTTTCTCATTTTCGTGCGGAGGATATTTGAAACCTCGACTTGCGTTCAGTGTAGAAGTTAAGGTCTCAAAACGGCAGCGGTGCGTGCAAACCTTAAAACAACATTTGATGGATCGTCTATTGTTAAAAATGTTCGGTCCCTGTGAAGGAATAGCAAGCTCCGTTGGGCCTGCCGTCATAGTCCTGTCTGTGCTGACAACGTTCCAGATTTCCTTGTGCGCGGTAGGTTTTGTCAAGAGACGCGAGGGAGACCCTTCGAACGCACGAACCCATGCAAGTGGGTGCGACATCTTTTGCCAGCGACGTGTCGGTACAAGCGCTTCCTTCGGGCTCGGATGCAGGAGAATCTTAGGAATCTAGGAGGGGAAAGCAGACATTTGAATCGGAAAGCCCCTGGCATCGTCTTGGCGCCAAGATGTAGACGAAAGGACACCTGCTCAAGCACGAGATGCTGAGGACGCTCGGATGAAACATTAAATGCAATTAATAAATATAATATATATTATATATATTATATATATTATATATATTATATATATTATATATATTATATATATTATATATATTATATATATTATATATATATTATATTATATATATATGTGTGTGTATATATAAGCATTATATGCCAAAGCCTAAGCCGCACAGTGGCTCGCTGGCCTGGCCCCTGGGAGCCTGGAGGAAGACTCCGACGGTCCAACGGGACTCGCGGCCCTGCAAAGGATTCAAAAAGCGTTTGGCTAAGGCCTGGTAAAAGCAACGGCTCTTCAAGTTGTTCAGTGTCCGATCTCACGCAGGTTGATCCGCGGCCGGCAAGCCGGACTTTTCATGTTGTCCCGTCCACGATAAAGCAGATCCTCTGCGGTTTTCAACACGTCTGTACACTTCAAGCCCTTCGTGTCTGCGGAGGTTGTCAAGCTGCTGCTCGGAACCACCTCAAGATCGAGTTTGCAGAGCGATTCTGCCAAGTCCGGTGGCAGGTCCTCCAAAAGCAAACATTCAGTGGCAGCTGTGGCTCCTTACTTCCGGGCCTACTGGGGAGTTTAGCAAATCGGGTCCTCAAATGCTTCCGACGTACGGCCGGAGACTTCGAAGACCAGCTCGTGCCGGTGCAGAAAGTTTCGAGGACACCTGGGCAAATCCCTTCGGGCCCGAGCGCGTGCTTTTTTTAATTACTGGGTGGTGGCATGGTTTGCGTTATGGCACCACACGAGGTCCTCCATGTAGGTGATCGTGGAGGAATACTTTCCATCCGCCAAAGTCGGGTGCCCAACAAAACAGGTGTGAACCCGAATCTGGTGTCTGCGCCCAGTCATGATCTTCACGTGAACTAGGCTCAGGGCTCTCTGACCCCGAAATGCTCGAGCTAGCAATCTCATGTAGGTCTGCGACGGTCGCCCGCTGTCTTGAACCAAGCTTGCTCTGTTAGAGTCTGGGCCGAAGGACAACCAGTTGATTGGCGAGCGGACTCCAGCTCGAGAAGGGCTCAGCAACCCGTGGCATAAGATCACGTAGGCACGTGTCAGAAGTCCAGTGGCCAACTGGAACTTGAGATCGTAGAAGCGTTCAAACGAAGTCGCCACCAAGATCAAGCCCGAGCTCGGCACATCCAAGCGATGCAAAAACCCTCGCTGGTGGGTTGTGTCGCGAAGGATCGGGTACTGACGGCCAGGCCTTAGGGACCGCACGAAGAAGGAGAGCAGCCCACGATTATCGGAGAATTGTTCGACATCGTAAATAGCGTCCCGCTCATCCACTTGCCAGTGGGCCGGCTTCCGCACCAGAAGAGCGCCTGGCAATTCTTGGGCCCAAGGCTCGCCAGCCTCCTCGCCCAGGCCAGGGCCCAGGCCGCCACCCAGCGCCTGAAGGCCTTTGTCGAGCCGACTGCCCTGGCGCACAAGTGCCGACCGCACTGTTTGGGCAGCGTTGGGGAGAAGCTGCCCCGCAAAATGTGCCGCATAAAGGATGGCTAAAGCGGCAGTCACAAACTCTGTCCATGATGCTCGAGAGACGGATTGCGCCAAGCGAACGGAGCGACGAGCGAGTTCGTTTTGAATCTGCCCCAACGTTCCAGCAACGTCGGTGTCGGGCATAGACAATGCCCATGCCAGATTGGCCATGGTGCGAATATTCAGACCCCTTGCTCCTCCTGCATCCATCTTTTGAAAAGCTGCCCTGCTCAGCCGCGGCATGAGTGCACCCGACACACCGAGGCGGGCAAGGGACCACATCACCGCGCCTAACTCCTGAAGCTCGAAAGCTTCAATTCCCACCGAGGCCACCACTTGCGAAGCTGGCTCGGCCAGCGAAGCCACCGAGGCTCCGAGCCTGGAAAGCTTCGCCAGGCGCCAGACAACCTGTGAGGCCTCTGCCGGTGTCAACGCTGAATCCAACGAGAAGGCCCCTGAACTACATATCTGCTGTACAAGTGACCCGACCTTAGTGGGGCTCTGCTTCTGCAACAAATCCAAAGCCAGCTGCCAACAACCAGCTTTTTCACATGCATTTGACAAACAGTTGAAAGTGATCTCATCGCAGGTCACCCCCGTCTCGTCCATCACAGCTGCAAGGGCAAGAGCGGCCTCCCATTCCCCAGGTTTGGCACACGCGCTGATTGCAGCATTGTAGGATATCGTACTAGGAGCAGTGGCTTCCGCCGACATCTTCAGCAAGAGTTGTATTGCATGCTCCCATTGGCCGGCTTTCTCAGCTGCACTGATGGCAGAATTAAACGATATCTCATCAGGCGTCAATGCTTGGATCTTCATTGACACCAGGGTTGCAAATGCCTGCTGCCATTCCTTTGCTACCTCGCAGGCGCTGATGGCTGAGTTGTAGCTGGCCTTGGTGCAAGTTATTTCGAATTAGACATCTTTTTCGACTTGCCACTGGACATCTCAAATGGGATCCAGACGGTGTTGGGGGAAACGCTCATCTCGGGCATAGTCACAGAGAGCAAGCTGATTGCCAGCCTCCACTCTCCAGCCTGGCATGAGGAAGCGTAGCGGCGTAGCATCTGGACCGGGATCCGCCGCCAACTAGACTTACTCTCCTGCCTTGTCAGCGGCATGGATGACTTCATTAAACGCCGTGACCTTTGGACTAATCCTTGGCCGGGACCGCAGCACCACAGCAAGTGCAGACTTGGTGAGGCAGGCGAAGTTTGCAGCCCGGCTGCTTGCAGCACATCATCTCCAGCAAGAGGCTCAACGCAACTTCCCAGGAGCCGCTGGGCTTGCAGGCGGCAATGGCCGAAGTGTACTCTGCCTTGAGGGACTGGGACTTTCTCTGCGCTCTCTAGGCTGCGAACCGAGGCTTCATATGCATCCTGGGGGCCACGTGAGGTCGCAGGGTCGTCGCCCCCAGGTGTTGCAGCCATGCGAGGGCTGCTTGCCAGCTCACTCTCTCAAGAGCAGCACTCACATGCTTGGCCATCTTTCCATCTGCTTCCGAAGAGCCTGCCTGCCATGAAACCGAACCTCTCTTCAGCAAAATGCAAGAGATCCTCGCCACTGGCCTTTAAAGCGTTGATCAAGCTAAGGGCTGCAGGCCACATGCCGCTTCGGCAGAACACCTGAAGAGCGCACAAGCACCCCTGCATTGTCACAGCGCCTGTGAAGTGTTTGGCCAGTCAAGTCGCCTGAAGTGCGGCATCAGCTACATCAAGATCCAGCGATTGAGCTTCTGAAGCCTGTGAGATCATCTGCACTGCCAGCTGCCAATCGGAGGGATCCTTGGACTTGTGCCTTCTCTACTTCTCTTTCCCTTGCATCTTCATGCACATGCCTGTCTGAGCCAAGTCACAAGAGAAGCAATCAAACCCTTGTAAGACCTCGGCAAACGCATGAGACAAGCATCCCCGCACGCTGCAATGCCAGTCTTTAGCGAAGCGGCTCCGCATCGGCTGCGATTCTGAGCTTCATCATCTTGTGCAGAATCTGGATTGCCATCTGCCACTGCCCCTCCTTCTGCACGGCGGCAAGCACGCTCGCGCACGTCACCGAGTTCGGCTTGCAAGTGCCCTGCATCTCATTGAAGAAAGCGCAGGCTCGCTCCCAACTGTGTCCCACACAAGCGTTGATCACTGAGTTATAGACTGCAGCATCTGGAATCAAGAAGTGGTTCGGCATGTCACGCAGCAGATCGGATGCAAGGACAATTTGGCTGCCCTTTCCACATGCATGCACAAGCATGGTGTAGCACAGCAGATCGGGTTGTCGGCGGGCTTCCGCCATGCAGTGGAACAGCTCGACGGACTCGAGCCACCTACCTCGAGTAGAACATGCTTTTATGGCAGCACTTGTAAAAGCCGTGTCGGATTCGGGCGGGTCGTAATCATGAAATATGTGGAGAGCAAGTGGCCAATTGCCCCCATTGTCACACGCCCCGATAAGCGTCGTCATGCTGATCAAGTCTGCTTGGACGGAGCTCGCTGACATGACTTCAGACAAGCGAGTTGCATCCTGCCATCGGTTGCCGGCCCGACACGCACTCATGGCAGAGCTAATTGCAATAAGGCCAAGCTGGAGCTCCTGAGACTGCATGACAGAAAGCAGGTCCAATGCAATCCACCACTGCGCCGACTTCTCACATGTGCTGATGGCACAGTTGAAAGAAATCTCATCTGGGGCCAGCTGCAGCTCAGGCATGAGTTCCAGCAAACCCAAGGCTGGTACCCAAGCGCCGGCCCCCCGGCATGCATTCAGAGCTGCATTGCAGCTAATTTGGTCTGGAGAAGCGCTTGCGGCATCCATGCCGGCGAGCACCTGTAGGGCAACCTGCCAATTCCCGCTTGCACCGCATGCGCTTAGTGCTGAATTGCAGCTGATGGTGTTCGGCCTCAACCTTAACATTGTTGGAGCATGACAGCACAAATTGGGACCCGGATACGGTTCTGGATGCCTTCAAGAAAAGCATATTGTTACTAGCACCGCCCAGGCACTGCCTGTCGCTCATCCACCGCAGAAGGCACATTGCTGCTTGCCACTGCCCAGACTTCGCACAAGCGGCAATGCAGGTGCCGAAGCTGATCAAGTCGAAGCACTTGGCCGACACCTCTGCAGTTGCGCTTTCCGCTTAACAACGCCCCAAGCCCGAATGCTACACGGTGGTAAAGGCTGCCAATTCTTGGTCACGTTTCCATGTCGTCCAATATGTCGACGGCCAACTGCCACCGCCGACGTCTCGAGCAAGCATTTAACAGGTGATTGTGCGAGAAGACGTCCGGCTGATGAGCAAAATCGCGCACCTGCTGGAGCCTCAGAGGCAGAACCCTTGCACAGCCTTCCAGAAAGCCTTTGCTAGAAGCAGCCAAACCTTCGAATCCCCAATCACACGTGCATCAACCAGGATGCAAACTCAAAACCAGCTGCCAGTCTCCCCGAGCACTATGTGCAGACATCGAATCGCCGAACCGCAACAGTTCCTTGTGAGTCAAAGTCCTCTGGCAAGCGATGTGACTACGTTGACTGCGACTGCTTTCTCGAATTCATGCCTGTTCTTGTATGTTGATTACCTTGTGGCCCTTCAGAACTTTCGGTTCAAATGAGCACGTTGAAGAGATGGCGGGGTGTTGCACGGGAACAGTGCTGGCCTCTGGTTCTGCAAGGCGGGGCGACAAGTGATCACCGGGGGGGGAGCTGCTGTTGGGCGAAGCACCGGATTCCTTTCCACTCAGCAGACTCAGGAAGGACGAAGGCTGTAAAATCCTCAGTCCTTGTGGAACTCCCTGCCAACAATGCTTCCATGAGCGCGAGCTGTTCTGCAGTGCACCAGGTCCACCAGCTTCAATAAAGATTCCTCGGAGAATCCATCTCAGGATTAAGCGAGTCGTGGGAGGCCAGAAGTAAAGACATGGAGCCTTTCCTTTTCTGTCGAAGTTCTAGTGGATCTCTCACTCTTCTGGACAGCTCCCACGTCCGGTCTAACTTGGAGACAGCTTGGCCACGGAAAGACCTGCTGGAGTCGGAGTGGAGGACAGGATGCATCGCGCATGTCTAGACAAATTCAGACTTGAGCCCATTCCATTCGCGGCGGAAGCGGAGCAGATGTGCGGTGGCCGTGTTCACCACAACGCATGGCGCAGATGGCATGGGATGGCATGGGATGGCATGGGCGTGCCTGAAGACGCAGGTGAAGCTGCAACTTCTGTAGCCCGGCAGCTGAGAAGCTGGGACTGGCAATGTCCAGCTTGCCGTCCTTCTGCAACTTCGCAAGGTCAACCTTCCAGAGCTGCACAGGGAAAACGGCCCAGTGCAGGTCCCAGCAGGTCCTAGCAGGTCCTAGCAGTCCTAATATGTCCTAATTTCTCAAAAACTCAAAAACGCATTTTTTTAATCTGCTTCCCGATGCCTCGGCCTGCCAATTGACAACTCGAGCCCAGCTGCAGGTGGCAAAGGCCAGCCTGAGGAGCACACACCACCATCAAAAAGCACCTCCACTCTGCGCTCTCAATGGCTCTCGGGGCCCTCTGGGCTGCCGGCTCCTCTTTGCACTCGCCTTCGAATTTCTGCAGCTCCTTCACCGACTGCTGGTGGTGCTCCTGACAAAATCTTGCCGCACCGGCTGGGAGCATCCTACGTCCTCTCCTCCAGTCTTCGTTCCAAGGTCATCAGCTGCTCCTTCGGGATGTGCACAAACACTGAAGAGTCTCGATCGTCGCGGCGAGAAGCGGTGAACATGTCTAGAAGGGCGGAAGGGGGGGGACCCATATGCATCCGGATGCAAATCGGCTTCATCCCTCTCTCTGCACTACATCTAAAGGGCTTCCTTGGAAAGACTGCTGACACACTTTGCTTTGCAGCTCGGAGCTATTTCAGCCAGATGCCTAGCCGGGTGCTCGTCAGGCCGTGGGATGCTTCACACTGCAAGAACATCGCAAATGTTCTCCCGACTCCCCAGCCAAGCACCTGAACAGCCTGCTCGCCGCTCCTGCACATGAGCACTGAGAGAGTCTGAACGTCACAGCCAGGACTCGCCACCGGGCCTGCTGCCAGACAACAAGGCCTCGACGGCCTCAACTCCTTAGTTGTGCTCGGAGAACAGCTGCAGGCCAAGTTTGCCAAGTCGAGGTGGCCGCTGGTGGTCAGTCGCTCCTCCAACTTCGCCTCGCGACCCTCCTGTGCGAGTTCGAGAGGCTCCTTTTCGGATCCGGAGCTCCCAGAACCCTCCTTCGAGCCCATCTCTGCCACCAAAGCCTCTCAGTGTCACTCAACAGCATTTCAACAGCCAGGCAGCCCAAGCAGAGCACCGCGCAGTGTGCTCTCCGAGTGCCTCCACTCCGGCGAGACGCTCCAGAGTCGCCGCCAGCTCCGCGCTCTGCTGCGCCAGCAGGGAGTCCTCTCAGAGAAAAAGCCCAGAGCGAGACAGAGAGAGAGAGAGAGAGAGAGAGGCAAGAGAGAGACGTGTTTCCAAGAAGGTGAGGCTGCGAGCGATGCACCGGCGCCTGGCGCTCTTCGCTGGCCTTCAAGGACTCCGCGTGCTGCTGTCTCTCCGCTTGGGCTGCCTGGGCCGCCTGGGCGGTGCTCAGTCCTAGAAGCTGGGGGTCCCTCACAGCCGGCACAGCTTGGAGTCTTGGGGCGTCACCACCCGCGCTGCCTCGTCCAAGCGCTGGAGCTCCGCACGCAGCTCCTCCTCGAAGCCGCGGGCTCTCTGCAGGGCCTTCGACCAAAAGCCCACCAAACACCCGCTCCCGTGACTCTCGTGATCGAATCGAGTCCGGATCCGGCTAAGATGCCTCAAGATTTTCGAGCATACAGGAAAGACTGGGACGATATGCTGTTCGCAAACAGGTAGTAGTTCACGGACTCTTCAGGGAAACAAAGACAAAGGCCGCCCTGTAGTAAGCTACACTCTTGGCATCTTGGGCCTGCTGGAGAGTCTCTGCTTGCAGGGCGGCGGCTTGACTCTCCTGAGCCGGCTCCAAGAATGCCCCTCGAGCTCTCGAGTGTCGCGTTGCGACGCTTTCGGCTCCTCTTTTTCCTTCGCTGCTTGCTCGGAGGCTTCCAGGCACGCAGCCATTCGCGACTCGAGCGCTGTGAAGCGCTCTGCAAAGGCCTCGCACATGGCGGGCCAACATACTCAGGGGAAGTCAACAAAACGGTGATCTTCGGCATTCGGCACCTGGTCCAGTGTCTGAAGCTTCTCCTGGACTGTCCTCTCCCACTCGGCCCTCATGGCCGACATGCCCGCGCGAAGTTCCGAGACCTCACACAGTCTTCACTCTCATCTCAACGCCGTGTTCCTTTCCGCATAGCCTCCCCAGACATCGTGGCAGCAGTCGTCTCGGAAGCTTGAGAAACTTTGGACACCGCCTAGCAGGTAGCTTCTTCCGACCACTGACACGCAGCCACACAAATAAACGCAGTTTGTGCTTGCAATCAGGTCTTGAAGATAAGCACAGCCTCATAAGCATGAATCGCGCTCAAGACCGTCAGGGCTCAGTGTGCTTTCACTTTTGCCGGCTTTGGTTTTAACCAGTTGCCTTCGGCTTTGGCCGTGGCTTTTGGGTGAAAGCTTTCTCAGGCAGTTTGGGAGTCTCAGTGTCTGCACCGTCTGCACCGTCAGAGTCTGGGACGGTATCCTGCAAACAGCAGCACCCGGCAGTGTTCAGCCACGGGACCGGCCGGACCTCCACGCTTGCGGGGTTTGGTTCCGGAAGAGCTCGTGGAACGTCGGCCGAGTGGAAGAGGAAGTTCATTGGGCCGCGGCTGACTAGTGCATTGAAGTCCTGGGAGCAGAGATGAAGCTGGAAACCAGAAGCTCTGTAAGCATCGCTGCTGACTTGCACAGATGCTTTTGCCGAGAGGCATTCCGCGGAAGGACTGCCACGACCTTGAAAACTCCAAGACCCTGTGAGAGCGGCGACTCAAGTCATCTCAGCTAACTACACCTGTTCGGATCATCTTCTGAAACGCGTCTGCTTTTTGCCAGGTGGCCTGGCCATCGCTCGGTGTTTCGAGATCATCCTCGCCTGCTTGCAGCTTCGGGTGAAACAGATCCGGAAGTGAATTGGCTTCGCTCAGCAGGCAAAGGCCTAAGAACTCCAGCATTGCCGCCCATTTCTGAGGATCAACGGCTGCAACCGCAAGGCGGCCTCCGACATGCGAGAATAAAAGCAGTCGACATGAGCGTGATGTCCCAACCTGTCGGAAGGAAGGCGGGGTCACAGAAGGCCAGGCCAAGCTCCGCTTGCAGCTCCGACTTCTTGGAAGGAGAATGCTCGAAAGACCCACTTCGCCCCAACCTGGCCAACTGGGCGTCCCGCAAGTGCCTCTCCAAACTCCTCCTGCGTGAAGAGAGCAACACCTAACAGCTGGCCACAAATGCTACCGGACTGTTGGTGCTCAATCCTGCTTCGTGCTCGAAGCTTTCGAAACAAGTGCGTGCTCGTAGCCGGGTGACGCAACAGAGCAAGCCGCGTCCCTTGGCCGTAACCGTCGAGTCCCGCGTCATCCTCAACCAGCCATGGCAGCCGTGCCTACACAACCAACCGGCAAGAAAAAAACGACCAACCTCCAGCGGCTTGTTCTGGAAGAGGAGCCTGAGGAGAGTTTACATGCGTGCCTGAGAGGTGTCTCACACCAAGTTTTCAACGAAGCCCTGGGATGGTCTCCGAGAAGCTGAAAGGAGGAATCTGGCATGCGAAGCAGCCGCGCGAGGTGTTGCTTCAGTTCATCTGAGCTTCACAGTCCGGCAGGGCCCAAGCCAACATGTTAAGAGCAACTTCTTCTTACGAGAAAGCCTTCTGATGCGAGCACAGCCTTGCAGCAGGGCACGGATCCGCGCACCAGTCGGCAAGCGCATTGCCATGAGCTCATGGTCTTCCATGCTGGCGATCAGGCAGAGCACCTGGACATTCAAAGATGATGCAGGCTCGCACAATACAACACAGCAAGGTATCACTGGCTTGACTCTGTCATGTCAAAGCACGGAGTTCCTTTCCACACTGCCACTGGTACCATTCGAAGAGAAGCCTTGCATTGTTGATGCTTAAGGCACTAGGATGAGTCCCACTCTTGCGCAGGCAAGAGTTGTGTGTTTCAGGCATAATGCAATTTCCAACCATGCTAACCCCGACTGCTCCCCTGCCGACTTGCAAACCTCGAGTGCGCGCCGTGCAGCTCGCAGGAAAGTACGACTCGAGCCCGCCCCTGTAGAACCTCGGCTCGCTATTGATGTGTCAATGGTTGCAGAGCATTGGCAGAAGCGCCTGGGCCCTGGGATGCCTGGAATGTTGGATTTCGCAGGCATCCGAGGATCATCCGAGGAGCTGGATCACGCCGCTTGTGCACAGGGTCTGCTCCAGCAGCGCACTGAACCTCATCTTTGTCGGCAAGTCTCCGACTTTCCTGCTTCTGCCGCGGTCACTGGGGCGCTTGCTCACCTCGAACCAGGCTGGACACCCGGCCTGATCTCCACAGTCGCAAGTCTATGTTGAAACTCAGAAAGCCAGGCTTTGTTTGCGTCACGCAAAAAATTTCGGCGATCCAGCAACTGCCACAAAGCCACGACCACCCAGAGCCAGGATCTCGTCACCGGGGCGAACGCCAGCCTGCTCCGCCCAGGCACCTCCAGGGACATGCTTTCGTGATGCGTTGGAGATGCATCTTCGAGCCTGTCTCTACGTCCTCGACGAAGATTCGCTGCGCAAGAGGAAGCTGCGGGAAGGAGAATGAGAGCTTGGGAAGCAAGAAGCCCGGGCTGCTGCGCTCCTTCGTGTGCACTGGGCTTCTAGAGCTCCTTGAAGCTTGGACCCCACCGCCCGGCCCTCCTCGGGCACCCGAACGTCAAAGAAGCCCGCAGCCACGAAAAGGAGAAGCTCCAGCCTCGTTGAGGCCCTTAGCTGCTAACGAATGCAGCTCAGAGGAGTTCTACGCCGTTCTGCGCCGTTTTTCGTCAACAAGCTTAGGCATCTTAGGCTCGTCTTGCTCTGCGTGTTCAGATCCGAGGCTAGCATCCCATAAAGCTCAATCTCCGCCTTTGCGCGACTCAGGTCAGGCATCGTGGAATCTCATCTGTCCCTTAGCCTTGCCTGCATCAGTGCCACAAGTTCACCAAGACGCTCGTCATCCTCAGGGCAAGCGGCAGTATGCGTACCAGGGAGTGACATGGCGCCCCGACTGGGGAATTCCAATTTCTACCTCATGCGGCTCTTGCGTGCATGACATGATGTCCCAACAAACCCACCCTGTGCGGTGTCGAAAAGTAAGTGCTTCTGCTCGAGCAGAGTGTTCCTGATCATGTGTGCATCCTGCAGTACGGTCCCACTTCGCACCGGTTTTCACGAGCTAATAAGTGCCGTGGGAGGATCGTCCAGCAGACGTAGTTTCTATAAGAACTACTTTCTACGAAGTAGAACAGGCAGAGCGCTATCTTTGAGGAGGTGGAGTGAGCAAGCACGGAGATGTCCAATGCAAGAGATTCTCGAGAGATTCTCGAGCTTCAGCGGAGCATCCGCATAATTGAAAGCATTCCGTCGTTGATGCCACTGGAATTTACGGAGCCTTACGGGCGTCCTTCAGCAGCTGCCGGGACCAAGCCAGATGCTGATCGTCAGCCGACACACCAAGAAGCAGAGACAGCCTCAGCCCGAAGCCCAACAGTCACCGTGGCTCCAGATCCCACGTCCCATGTGACCAAGGGGCTGTTGCTTCAGATCAACTACCTTAGACCAGAACCATGCAAGGGACGTGAAACGGATCTTTGCACAATCGCCTCTCTCATCAGGTGCACTCTGTGGTCGAAGCTACCGAAGCTTACCTACCGGGCCATCTCTCGACCCAAACACTGTCTTTTCGTCGCCTGGGTCCTGGGAGTTTCATTCGAGAACACTCGTTGTAATCTTTCTTCCATTTGACTCCCGGATGCTCGCGTCTTGGCCTCGAGTTGAATGCGCAGTAGCTCATGGTCACCTTTCACTTCGCGCGGCATGTGGCGTCAAATGATGCGAACTGTCACAACTCACAACATTGGAGCCGAGCTGCTAACCCCCTTTACTTGAATCCAGATGTTCGCATCTCCATCAGCTTCCTTGCATGGCGCACTAGGTGGGCCCTTCAAAGCCTCTGAAGAGTATTCATAAACAGGATCATCTTCAGCCAAATGATGTAAAGGCGCATCCGAAAACTATCCGCATTCATTTGCCGAGGAAAGCACCAAGTCTTCTGTACTTTTACAAGTGCCCGACTCACGGGACTTTAGATCAGCCCGGAGATCGCGACCCGGCTCCCAGTCCATCATACCGTATGCAAAACCAGAACTTCGGACTATGACGTGCCGAAGATGTACATGGAGCATGCTGCAAGCATTAGGCTACCTGGTACCACCGCGCACACGAAGCGAGCTCTGGCGACAAGGTGGCGCAGTGCAATCAAGCGTCGCTAAGAAGCGCTTGCATGCATGGCTTGGCCACGGAGCACTGCGCATGGCTCTGCGATCACCATCCCAATCTTACATGGGAAACAGCAGATCAAGACAAGCAAATGCCCCTCAAGCTCAGCGGAGTGCCACCTGCCCTAGTCAGGGCGCATCATCCTTAGCCGCCTTAGCCTTGAGCCGAACTTCCGGTCTCCGTTGTTATTGTTCGTTCTCGCACGACAACTCGCGGCAAAGCTCTGCTTGTAGTGCCTCGATGATGGCTCCCGCCACTTCCTCATTGTCCCGATCCCGCTGCACACGCAGAAGCCTGGCATATGGCTTCTTCGCAGTAACATGTTGAGCTTCCGTGCTGCTCAGCCGGGCAGATGCAAAGCATCTCCGATGAAAGAGTTGGCTGAAGTGGTCTTTGGGTCCAGAGAAGCACTTCGAAGCGTGCAGACGCGCACTCCGTGTCCTTGGAGAGGCCACCTCGGAAAGCTCCGGGCGGGCTCCTACTTGTGAACTGTGATGATCCGCAACAGCAATGATCGCTTCGTTTATCCCTGGGGTCTGTGCTGACTGAAGACTGCAACCTGTCGATGTCGGAGTTGACCTCCAGGCAATGAAGCGGAAACACGGAGGTCTCAGACCTCTACAAGGTTTCCATGGCAGCCTGACTCTTCAAGGCGTGCAGACCTCGAGCAGAGTTTTGGATCTCCTGCCGTTTCGTTTTGGCGGTTTTGGCGGTGGAAAACAAGCAGACTGAGACAGTGCCACTCCTGCGCCACGGCAGTGTGGACCTCGTTGAGAACCTGGAAAGCTGAGTGCGGCCCAATAACACCTTCTAGAAATACTTGCCTGTAAGAAGCCAAGGTCAGTGCAAGGGGTCTCTATGACATGTGCAAGCAGAGACATCCATGGCAGTGGCCTGGGCATGCAGGGAGTCAAGATCACACTGGATCTTGTCGTGGCCTTGGCAACCAAAAGGCATGTCGAAATTGCCAAACACAGACTGTAGTTCGGCTTCCACCCTGAGGTGCTTGCAATATCGGGACTGATGCTGCAGCTCAGTCTGGCATGGGTATGCAAATGCACAATGCTGGTATTCGGACAAAGACCTTCGAGCATCGGGCTTATTCGCTCTGGCTGACTATGACTATTGTGACTACTAATGCTCAAGTGTCCGCGTTCTCAAAAGGTAGCAGGCTGGCCTCCAGCGTCTTCCACCCTGGCTTCGCCTGCACTCCGACACTAGAATGAAACCAACGAAGCTAGACTGCATGCACTTAGCCCTAGCCGTCTTCCTTGTACGAGTACCTTGTACGAGTACCTAGGCGTCCCGCCTGCAAGGGTGGTGGATTGAAGGGTGCACTCGGAAAAGCTGAAAACTGCCATGCCTCGAACAGCCAGATCGGGCAGGCACGTAATGGCACGTACGTAAGCTCTCACACCCAGTGGCGACAAGGCGCGTTAATGTCGCGCTCTTCGATCGCCATGGCGAGGTTGGCAAGACAAGGGCCTCTTTCCTGATCCGAAAACCCGCTCCTGTGACTGTGAAGTGAGCTTGTCATTGCTTGTCCACGCGACAAGGAGCCGTGTGCAGATTGCTCAAACCATCGAACAATAATGATTTGTTCCTGCATGCGAGCCGAAAGCAAGGGTACTCGGCAGCGGCCCTTTCAACCTCATCGCACACTAAGCTGCACCTTGGCGAGACAGCGGCAGGCCCAACCCATCCGAACCACAACGCGCCGGCCTCTTCCTTTGCTGCAAGGACCTGGCAGGTTTATTCGACGTGTCTGCTAGGCGGCACGCATGGCGAGCATGAAACCGTCGGGTGCTAACCGCTAACGTTTCTTCTCTGATCGGCTTGGATGTGAAACCGTCGCGCATCTCGGAGACTGCTCCTTCTTGCAGCAGTCCCCTTGTTCATCTCGTACACCGTAGTTTGTACAGGAGTAAGGCTCGCTCACCGGGTCTGAAGCGCGCCCTTCACTATGTAGACGGTCTGAGGTCCTTAAGATGCAGGACCGATCAAAGCTGGCATAGCAGTATGGTTGGCCCGGAGTCTCTATACATCAACAACCTTGGTGTCGCACCATCTTCCACTTTTTCAGCAATTTCTCGCAGCTGCTGCCGCACAACGTAATCGCTCAACTTGCACCTGCAGGCAAGAATTAGGGCCGGCGATTGTCCGGCTCTTGCAAATCAAATGATTGCAGCTGCAAGCGGATTCTCTCAGGCCTCTCCCCATACGTCTGCTGGTACTCTTCCTGCCACGGGTTCCTCCTGCTGAATCAGCCTTCACTGGCTCCCGTGCATCTCAGGTTCCGACCATCACCTCCTGTCGAGTGACAGAGTCGCGATGGCGGAAGAGCGTGAGCCTGGGATGATCATGCAATGCAAGATTCCTGAACTCGCTGCTTTGCAAAGGCCGCGACAGTGTCTTGCGGAACTTGTCGTGGGACTCTGTCCCAGTGCGAGCAAGGACCCAAACACCACGGACCTGGTCAGAAAGGGATGCGAGTGCCTGCTTTTGCCTGCAGCGTCGATGCCTGGAGCGCATCCAGCTCCTCCATAGAAAGGACACCCAGCAAGTCTTCCTGCTGTCAGAGTTGCTTCTCGCTTTTGCCATTCTAAGGATCCCGGCCTCTCGGATCTCCTCCGTGGGATGCTTTCGTTGGATAAGCCTGGCGAAAGGTGGCATGCCGTGGCGCAACTTGCGCAAAACTGTGCACCTTTTCAACTCCTCTGTAGTCTTGGGCCCAGATAGGAGTGCTTCCCGTGCCTGCACAGCACACTCCACAAGGATGCCTGCGTTTCCCCCCCCCCTCCCACTCATGGCCAGCCTCCGGCAACAGTCGGGCACGCATCCTGGAACTTGCTCCAGCAGAGGCCTGCCAGGCACCGGCCAGGTCCCTCGTTTGCGCGAGACTGCGGCCTTGCCTGAAGCCTGCTCCCGGTGGCACCCCCAGAGCCTGTCATCTGCTCTACATGGGAGTATGGACTGCAAGGCCCTGCAAGGCCGCAAGATCCTAAGTCCGCCGGGGATGCTCTCTTTGCCGGCCTACGAGCACGGCAAAAGCGGAGTAGCTCCGGACCGGGTACAGACGCGCGTGCGGGTGCTGCCTTGATCACTTCCGTGCGGCGAGATTCGAGCCTTTGAAAGCGAGAGGTCCAATTAACAACACATGCTGTGCGTCACCGTTCGTTTTGAGTTATCTTGCTGCACCGCGATCATCTAGCCAGCGCTCGGCGCCCAAGTGGGGCTGCAATCCATTTTGTCAAATTGCATTCTGTAAGACCGGTTGCATTCGTAGGTGGTACAAAATGCTCGCAGTCCAGCCAAACACGATGGAGCATCTGCGAAACACCGATTGATGAGTCATGGACAATGAACTCACCTCATCACCGACTTCGCCACAGCAGAACATGAGCTTCGCACCAGTCATCAGACTCCCTCACCAGCTCGGAGTATCGATGCATGAAGTCCTGGCACGACTTGCAGGGTCTGGAAGCCTGACAGGACTGCAAAGCGGTGCCCGCAATTCACCTTCAGTCCTGGTCTGGTTCGGCCTTCATCTTCCAGTACTGCTTGTCCTGCACTCGAAGGCTCCAAAAGAATGTCTGTGGAGGTTTCGGGCAGTCGGACTGCCTCGGACTCTTGCAGCACACCGCGAACGATCTCCCGGAGTGCATCTGTTGCGACTGTCTGTTGGAAGGCCTTGGAGGGCGAAACAAGCTGGACGCTTGACTCAGAGACACTTGGGCATCATTCGGAGACGCAAGACCACCCCTGACACGTAGTACAGGCCTAGCATCACTTTTCTGATATAGCACCGGGCCTGGACTGAAGCAAAAATCCCGACGCCATGCTCGTCGCACGTCAGACGACTTAGGGCAATGGGGACGTCAAGAGCTGCAGCTGTGTATGAACATCAGCAGGAGTTTGGTCGTCTGAATGCTTGTTTCCTAGCCCTGCTCGTTCCCCAATTGCCACGCCACATGCTTTCTTCTTAGAAAGTCTGAAATGGATTTTTGCCTTGCCCGAGAGATCTCGGACTTCTAGGGTCGCAAGCCTCTCCGGCAAGAAAGCGATCGCGGATTGAGGGGGCTCCGGCCGTTCCTGATGTGCCTATGCTGCAGACCCGCACCGAAGGGCGTTGACGGACCGGCAGCAATCGGAAGATTGAAGGCCACTTTGCACACCCCGTGACTGGGCGGAGTGAGGACGGGCCAGCCAATGTGATCTCACAACACAGACCCACAGAGACCTGCAAGACTGTTCAATGAGTCCGCGTGGATCTTGGAACACTTCCCGCACCTACATGGGTTGCTTAAACCATGGTTTGCCTTGGCACCTCTCTTCACCCATCACCGTGCTTGAATTCATCGGAAGTTTCATATGCTGAAAAACTTGCCGACACGGCACCGCTTTGCGGTTACAAATCACGAGCTTGAAGGAGTCACACACTGCAAATACCACATGTGCTGTGTACTGCGCTTCAGAGCACTACTTTGACTTGAAGCAATGATTGGTGACTCAGGCTCGCTGCCAATGTGACGAGCCAGTTTCCAATAATTCATGCCAAATGCTTCAGTAGGGTCCAAGAAGGATTTTGTCGTCTTGTGGAAGAACACTGTGAAGACTCGCTCACGGTGCCCAAGGGTTCACCATACTTCTGCCAGGAGCGGGCTCCCGGACCTACCATGATCAAAAATGCTTGGATTGATCCAGCTGCAAAGCTGGAGAGTATAGAAGTGCACTCAGTTCTTGTGGGCTGCTCTAGCATTTCAGCTCCATGCACCTGGGACGAGACAGAGCTCTTGCAGCGGTGTGCCAGTTTAGAACATGCATCGAAGGAGCGCAGCGTCTGCACCACGAAAGAAGTCAAGCCTTTGTAGGACAGAGTAAGAGGACACAGGCCCCGCCCTGGGCCCTCCGCTCAAAAGAGGGCCTAATGAGGCTGCGAAAGCCAGGGAATAGAAGATGGCATTTGCGAGACCTGAGCTTGGCGTTCTGAGCTTAGCGTTCTGGGCATGGCCCTGGCCTGAAAGTCACAGAGCTAAGGCAGCTAAGCACCCTGCGCCTGGGGTGCAAGTCCTGGGCTCTTGCCGAAACCGTGCGTTGGAGTAGGCTTCACTCACTGAAACATGCACACGTGGGGCTGGTTCTGGCTCTGCAAAGACAGCAAAGACATGCTGAAGCATTTACGGGCCGTGCTGGTGGCATAAGACACCAGAAACCCTCAGGCGAGCATTGATGACAAACGTGTCCGGGCTTTTGCCAGTTAAGGCAGTTCGGAGGGCGGGGGCTGAGCTGTGCGGGGAGGGACGGGACACCAGAAATGCCTAAACGAGGCCCTTGAGGCACCAGGAAGTTCACGTGGGGGAGCCAGGCCGGCCCCGCCGGGTTTGTCTGATTATCTTCTCTTCCCTTATCTTGTACTATAACATATTATATTAAAAGTTACACTATGTCATAACAGAATATGTCATAGTTCATTATTATAGTTGTTTTGAGTACTATCGTATGCTATGGGGTTTATACTTTTGTCATTGAAGGCCCTGTTGAAAGAAAAGAAAGAAAGGTGCGAGTGTTCTCTTTAACAGGGCAAGCCGGTCGACAATCTTTGACAAGTGTCGAACATAGCCTGGCGGTAGATCATAGCGGGCCATGCCAGCACCTCGAGTCGAGACTGTCAAGGGACCCTTCATGTACGTTCTTTATGTGCATTCTATAAGGACACCCCTGAATCAATAAAGCTAAAACTCTGAAGAAGACCACGAAGACTCTGAGTCCCCGTACGATCAGCGAGCCAAAGCTGGCACCAATCAGGCCGATCACGTCTGCCACCTTCTCACTCCAGAGCGCCACGCAGACGCAGCTGGCCTTTTGGTCCCATGGGCCCCAGCAGAGGCGGGCAGAGGCAAGGCAACAGCATCAACTTCGCTGAATTGCGGCGCAGCTGCGATGATTGTGGTCACCACGATGAAGTGCCTGTGTGGCACGTCAGTAAAGACTTGGATGCCCAAATATCAAGCACACCCGGGGCCTCTTGGGGGTCCTGCGCTCGCTGCCCAGAAGACCCAAAATGCTTGAGGCCTCATCGGCGCTTGCGCATCATTGAAAAAGCCAGCTTGAGGCATGGCTAAGCCCTGCGCGGCAGGTGACAAGTTGATCGGCGCTCCCAGACAGACAACCACGCCATAAATGCAACCTGAAGAGAACAAGATGGCTGCACATGGCTGCAAGAGAAATCAGCGAGAAAATCCTAGCTGGAGACCAGAATAGGCAAGGGAAGTACGTCTCTGTGCTCTGCAAGACAAGACACGCACCAAGAACATCAGCATGTCATCATTTCGGTAATTGAGGATGAAGTCCTGCTCGGTGTATCCTCGAAAAGACACCTTCCATGAAAATGCGAGCACTGCTCCCTTCCGTGGAGAGCACCGTTCCCTGCAAGCAACATACAGAACTATATTTAAGGGAGTCGCTTCAGTGCACATGCTGACCGGGCACGTATCCAGCCAAGCCCATCAGTGTGTAGAAGACCAACTCAATACACACCTGAGTCGAGGCTCCAGTCTTGCCATGTCCATGCTGCCTTCCAGCATCCTGCGTTAGCTCGTATCTTGCTGTGGCTGACATGCCAAGCCACTGAGTACAGAGAGACTCGCCAGATGCTTCCACCATCCGCTTGCTTCAATGCAGTCGCAACGGGTACTGCATTCGTGTGCGCCGCAAAAGAGAACCTGCATCACGGAAAGTTTGACTGACTGTACGCTGCATGCGCATAGGTGTGTTCTCAGCTCTGGCAGGCAACAAGGCAATGCTGAAGGACTGCAGAGCCGCGTACCTCATCTCGTGCTGACTCAGTTGGTTTGTGCGCACGACTGCATCACCTTTTGCTCGGCAAGGTGCGGGTCGCTGTTCCACCAGACGAGCTGCCACTTCTCGTCCGTATTAGCCGCAGCACTCCTGTCACAACACTCCCAGATTCAAGAGAAGCATCACCCCACTGTGCTGAATCACTTCGCTCCTGTGCTGAGCATAGCTCGGCGCTCGCCAGGTAACGACCAAGGCAGTGAGGCCGATGGCCAGCACGCTCAGCACACCTCCACCACGGAACATTCAGAGGTTGATACTGTGCACTAGAACTTCTAGCACGACATTTTGCCTACAAAGGTATAGATACCATGTGTGCTAGTTGGGACATCTTTCTCTTCCCCCAACATACCCAGAAGGTCTCTTCAAACTTCCGCCGGGCAGCAAACGTATCGAAGGGCTGAGAGCCGCCTGAGTGCGAACCACAGAATGCCGAGACATGGAACATCTACAGAGCTGCTGCCGCTTCATGCTACTGCTGTAATCTGCTGTACTACTGTATGAGGACCTTAGGTGGTCCGTTAGGCTTCCATTTGAGAGTCTCTTCTGGGCCAGGCCGCCGCGGCAGGGAGAGCGGCCAAACCACTGCGACTGCAATGCAGACCTGTCAGCAATCACCCGTCCTGCTTTGGCTTGGAGTTCGGGCTCAGATTCGACCGAAAGTCGTGAAGCCCTCCCTGCATGCAAGAGGCTATGAGGGTCTCCCTTGAGACCTGCAGATCCAAGAGAGGCGACCTCGGACTCCGGCGACCGCGCGCGCCCCCGGCTTTGCCTGAGGCCCGCGCCTAGCAATGCCAAGAAAGAAATCGCCGATGAACATCAGGTAACAGAGTACGGCCGCTATCCTCAGCTGCTGACTCCGGCTCAGGAGGCTCATGGAGATTCCGAGACATGCTCAGCTGCTATAGTATATAGTATATAGCATATAGTATAGAGTATAGACAGTATAGAGTATACTTTGGCACAGGGGCCCATAAACAGCAATGACCACATCCACGATGTGCCCGGAGCCCCGGCCGCGTGCCAATGCCACGAGCTGGGCCATGCCTCATAATCCAGATTCCCAGACAACGTGAGCCGCAATGACATGCGCCCTCTGTCTTGCAAAGCTGCTTTCCGACTCTGTATATCGGGCACAGCTCATCAGAACCTCGCAGGTCAAACTTTCATGCACCATGGTGTGAGCAGAAGCACATCACAGAAGCACGTCATACCAAGTGCCGGCTCCAAGGGACTACCAACGACAGGTGTGCCAAGACTGCCCCCAGTCCCAGCATCAACAGTCCAGATATGATACCTGGTTTTGATGTCGTCAACGGCTATCGTGTAAGACCGACTTTGGACAGCCGTGTTCTTGCAGTAGAGCCACCTGAGTTCTTCAGCATGAACGGAAGCCTTGGACAGATCTCCGTTCAGATCACTCCCGCAAGTCTGAATCGTCGCCCAAGCCCGGCACGAAAGGCAGCCTGCGCCCATGGCGGAGGAGACCAAAGTGAACACAGCAGCTCCCAGAGACCCCTGGCAGCCGACATCACGGCGAGAACGACGAGGACACTGGGATTCAAGGAAGCTGCAGGCCACCTCCCCGAGCAGCGAGTTGCGTGATAAGCCCACGCTATGCCTGGGACGAAGGACGGAGGGAGGGATCGAACCTTTCACGCAAGCGATGTTCAACAAAAAGCCAAGGCAGCAGGCTCTTCGGTGATGGTGTCAAGCCCCTCGATGTCCATGGAGTCCAGACTCGCTAAACTCGCAGAGCTCCTTGTCACGTCGGACTTGCAACGACAGGGTCCGCCACGCTTCGACATGCTTCGACCGCCCTCAGCTCCATGCTTAGAGCACTTGCGCATGGACTTCCTGATGAGCCGTGGAACCTGAGATGCCCCCAAACCGTTGAAAAGCTGCTCTCGACCCTGAAGTGCGATGGTCGTCGTGAAGCCAAGTTCAAGACAGTTATGGTCTGTGCACGAAGCAATGGCCAGTGGTTGGGTCGGCTTGGGTCGCGGTCCGAGTCCGTTTCATGCTCCTCCCCACCCTCCAGCGTACCGCACCACCGGTTCTTAAGCTGTCAAACAGATTCGAACACATTTCACCAACGGCTCTCATCCTTTGCCTCCTTTGCCTCCGGCCTCACCGACGAGGTAGTTCTTGAGTCCTGTGTCTGTAGCCAGACCGCCAGGTGCGAGGATGCCGGGTCCCCGCTCCCCAAGGCGGGAGGCCTTCGAACGAAATCTCATTGTGGGGTATGTTCCCGAACCAAACGGCTTCTTCAAGGTCTCGCCGGTTAGAGAAAAGAAGGGTGCTTGTGATTCCAGATGTTCCAGCCTGAATTTCTTCTGTGCCGCACCAAGACGACCAACTGTGGTCTCCTCTCCAAAACGTCGATTCCCAGCACTTCCGGAGGTGCAGCCACTCAGCTTTACGTTTTGCATGCACGAGAAGCACTGTCGATCACTGAGACCCAACCGCATCCGTACCGAGGCATAAAGGCATAAAGTAAGGCTAACACAGACGCCTGCACTGGCGCAGCGAAGTCGAGCCACAACCATTTCCTAAGCGAGCAGCATGCCATCATGGCAGGTGTGCAATGCAACGGTCAGAGACATTGTAGGCATGCCATGTTTCCACATCTCTGCATTGGCCACAGAATCGTAGTTCCGCAGTCTAGCAGCAAAAGGCTTGCTGCTGCACCTCATGCAGCGCTCTCCGAGGATCTCAGGGTTTTTAGGGCACTTCCAGGCACCTGGTGGGTGGCGTCGACGGGCAGCTCGAGGGCTCCGACTGAGTTGGGCTGCGGGTGGTGTCGCTAGGCGCCTTGCACAGCAACCCCGAGCCCACGAGCCCGAAGCCCCTCGCGACAGCCCTGGCCCCGGCCTTGCAAAGACTCAGCATTGCATAGGAGGAGACCCAGCCAGACTCAGATGTAGGGTCATGCCGCCTTAAGTCGGGAAACGAATGGCTCAGGATGAGACTGCACCACTTGCCGAACAACTTCGAGGAACTTAAACTCCCTGCCTCCACACTCACACTGACGGAACAGATCCTGAACAACTGCTTGCATCCCAGATGCCGCTGCGCGGGCATGACCTTCACCGTCTTTCAGCACTGTTAAGCTAACATGCAAAATCAAAACGAAAACACCCGTGCAAACTCATGAGAGACATGGCTGGCACTGCAACTGCAGCACTTTGCCTCAGCGGCGGGTGCCATTCGTGAGGAAGATCGGCTACAGACCTAACTGAAGCCTGGGCACGACGGCTGCGCGCCTGAAGAACTGGTTGCCTACAATCCGGCGCAGTATCGCTGCATCTCGGAATCTCCGGAGTAAGCTATGACTGTCCAAACAAACCTCAGATGCAGCTGATTAGGGCCTTAGGCCTGTCAATCTTTCTGAGGTGCCGGCACTGCTCCATTTTGAAACATCCGCAGGGGGTAGCCTTCCTGCCTCAGATTCCGCTCCCCCCAACCCCCGTGCCGCCACAAAAAAAGACTGTTCAGAGTCGGCTTGTAACGATCCACATCGAGGCTTAAAGCTTCGCACCGGTCAGCCCCCCAAGGCAGCTTTCCATTGAGCTCAGTTTCGTCGCAGGGTCATCGGGGGAGCACACACAAGCCCTAACCTTCCTTACTGCAGCATCAGCAGTATCTTAAATTGAATGGCTCCGAGTGCTTAGGAAGTGGGTCCCAGGGTCGCTAGGCACGCACAAATATCTGTCTAATCTCGGGGTGAGCGCGGAGAGCTCGGGACACGTGATGCAAAAACTTCCACAGAATTAGCATCAAGGTGCCCTCTTGTTGAGGATGGAAAGCAGCAGGTCCCTCGCGTTCGCCTCCATACCCTCGAAGTTCGCCAGCTTGGATTTCAAGACCCAGTTTCCACAAACCAGAACAGCGCAGCCTTGTAGCATTGTAATGAGGGCTACATCTGAGCCAATGCTTCGAAGAGTGCTCTGGGGTAGCCTCTTGCGCACATGATGCGTATAGGAGGCCACTCCGAAATGCCTCACAATGGCCTCTACTTGCCTCTCGGCTGGCATCTTGCTAAGGACATATGAACTGAGTCCATCCTGATTCAAGGAAGCCTTCTGTCGCAATTGCCGAAGTCGGTTGCGCTCCTCCGCATGCCCACACATGGATTTCACAAAAGAGACGTTGTCACCATCGAGCTCAAGCGCTTGAAGCTTCGGGTGCTCTGGCGCGGAGCCTTCCATGTCGGCCTCTGCGGCCTCGGTGGCAGCGAAGACGATGTGTTGCAGGTAGATGTCGGCAGACTCTGGAGAGCTTGCATCGAAGAAGTCGAGCCTCTTCCATGCATCTTCCGTGTCAGCTGCTTTGGCTATCTGTTCTGCCTGCGCACCCTGCGCACCCTGCGCACCCTTGCCGCTGAGGTACTCTACCCGAACTGGAGCTGCAGCCACTGGAGCCTCTGGCGGAGGCTCTTCCTCGCTGTCGGAGGCCCTCGCCCGGGCCGCTTCGGCTTCGGCGACGCCGGTCGGGGGCCCGGGTGGGGGTCCCCGATCAGCGGTCTTCTTCAACTTCTCGAAGTCTTCGAAGTCTGGCCGCAACTGGTTCACTGCACGGATGGGTGTCAGTGTCATCCGGCCCTGACGGATGACTCCCACCGCATAGCTGCATGCAGGATTTGCAACAACAGTGGAGTTCAGGGTATGCCGCTGCTCGTACTTTTCCTGCACGACGTCCTCCTCCGCGTAGTGATCGTTTTGATGCAGCTTGTACGCAAATCTGAGACGGCGAGACTTCGGCTTTAGTTCGACTTTGTCTAGCACCCCTTGATCCCCGTAAGGTCTGTAGCTGGGCCTCAGGGGATACTGCAGAACGTACATATCGCCGACGAAATCCGGAGGGTCGTACATTCGGTTCAAGTAGACATCGCATTCGTGGAGCAGCTCATCTTCCGACTCTGGCACTTCGCCTGCAGGTGCCTGGGTCACCTGAGCTACGTCTTTAGCAGCTTTAGCAGCTACTCCACACACCCCAAAGACCCGCCCTCATCTCAGCCTGCACCCCACAACCCTTCTTGGCGCCGCGGGACTGAATCTTCCCCTGCCGATGTCGTCACATGGCTCATTGGCTTTGATGGATCACTGTTCTGCACCAGTGCTTTGTGTTTTGTCCACAGTTTCAGACGTTCAGGTTTCTGGTGTGGGCAGAGATGCTGTGCGCTCAGTCTCTCTGTGCTGCCCATTTCTTTGGAGAAATGCTCTTGTGCATGGTACTGTGTACAGTAGCTGATGCTGCTGTCAGCGAAGGCTCCGGTTCCTCGCTCTCGAAGCATGCAGGGGCCTGATGGGTTTGGGCCGAATGCGGCTGCGCTTGTAGCGGAACGTCCAGTTGCTCGCTCCTGCAGGAGCGGTACATCCACGGCTGGTCTTTCTTTCCACAGAGATGCCGCCGGATTTCCACTCCGAGAATGTGAGGGGTAGGGTTTGCGAAGCGACGTCAAGATGAAGTGGCAGCGACAGCAGCGGGCAAGAGGCACCTCTCGCTCCCACTGCAGGCACGGTGCCCCTGCAAGGCACTGACTTTTTCATCGGCACGAGAGCCTCAGGAAGCTCCAAGCCATCTCCAGGCCTGACCACACCGCAAGCTGGCACGCTTCCCTACGGAGGCTGACAGCAGCAATGCCCATTGACACGTAAAGCGGCTGCATAGGCCCTTTGTCGAGTGTGCGCCCAAGTCATCTGTACAAGGCATCACGGTAAAGTAAAGCGGCGGCTCCCGCTGCTCACTTCGGACACGCTCTGACATGGACGGCCATAACTTCCGCCGTTGCGCAACAGGTGAACTTGGCATCTCGAGGCTTAAGCCAATGCACTGAAGCCATTCCGAACGGCTGGCCCAGATGCCTTTGCTTTCGCTGGACGTACTCCAGAGCTGACGGCGGTGTACCTTTGCACCGAGTCCGAGTCCAGGACCATTGACGGCATGATCAACATCGCATTTGTGGCAAAGGCACCCTCCACTGCCACCACCGCGGCCGGTACCCTTTTTGAGACCGGTGCGAAGGTTCGCCTCGAGACGAAAAGTAGAGAGAGTGGCCCATCGATGTGCGGACTCCGAAAAGGCCTGCAACCGCTCCTGGAAGACCTCGGAGACCGCACAGATCCGCACAGCGCGGAGTTCTCTGGGGGCCGCTGCATCCGCTGCCGCGCCTCGTCGCTTTCCAGCCATCCCCTTGCCCGCTTCTCGAGCTCCTCCACTGCCTCCTCGATCTCCGGACGCTCCCCCAGCCTCTCCAGGCTCCAGACTCTCAGTCTTCCACGTTTCCACTGCCATGCGAGCCTCTTCAGCTCGTCCATCGAGTAGTGCCCTGCGATGCAGGCGATGGAGTGAACAGCGGAAAAACACCGGCGGCAGCGCAGAAAGCTCCAGCCTTTCGAGACCTGACGAGGGCACGGAGCACATGGTGCCGGTGTTGCAACCGGGCGCATCTTCTCGCCTTCTCGACCTGCGCAAGCTCAGCGAGCTTCATACCTCAGTGAGCGCAGGGAAAGCCTCTTCTGCGATACGCAGATGTCGAAAATTTGACGCAACGGCGAGGAAGCTCGGGTCTCAGGCGCAACTCGCGGATTTTCGCGCCGTGCTTCAACGGAGGCAGGGCAACTGGCTCAGCTGCTTTCACTGAAGCCTTTGTGCTCTGCATGAGTTCAAGCTGGTGCTGCAAAGCCTGCGCGCGGGACTGTAGTTTGGTCCACAAATGTTTCACGAGGTAAGCTCGCTCACTTTGCGGGGAACCGCGCGAACCAACCACTGTGCCTGTACCTTCTTGGCTTTCCCATCTTGCTGCGCTTTGGCGATCTCCGCGTTGACCGCTTCAAGCTTTCCCTCCAGCTGCTCCTTTGCAGGATACTGTCGTTACAGTAGCAGCCCTCAGGGAAGGAAGGGAGCAATTGAGGGTGGAAGATTCGAACAGCCGTTCTTCTCCGAGACGCTAGGAGGTCGGTTCTCTCGGCGGCGGTGAGCCGTCCCGAGTCCACCATAGCTTTCATCTCGCTCTCCACCACTTTACGCTTCTCCTTCAGTTCCTTTCACGAGCGCGTGGAGATGAAACTCGGAGCAGGTCATGCTCTGGTGGTATGCAGTCTGGAGATGTGGGTGTCTTGCCAGCCCTGCGAGATTGTGTAACTCTGCAGGCCTCTGCCCCAACGTCGTTGAACAGCGCCTCCTCAGAAGGCTCCAGCCGCTCAAGGCGGGTCATTTTCGCCTCGATCGCCTGAAAGTAACAACATGGACGTGCTCACCTCACTGCTCGACATTTGAGAAAGCTGGAGAACTAACGGAGCCATGTTCAAGCAGAAAGCCTCCAGGTCGGAGATGCGCCTGAGACTCTTTGCCACCGTCAGCACATCTAAGCCCAGACGAATGCTACAAGGCCATTTAAGGCTCGCCACTGCTTCAGGAGATCCAGCAGCCTCTTCTTCTCTGCATACGTGACCTTTGTCGCAGAAGTCGAGCAGACTCGGCCGCTGTCTGCAGAAGGTCAGGCTCGCACGACCTGTGCCTGAACCAGCCGGAGGAAGTCTGCATCGTCACCTTTCGCTAGTGGGAGTATCGCGAGAACTCACAAGTTCATGCAAGAGTGTGTCCAGCAGAGTTGAGACTCTTGTCCCAGGCGCTGCGAAGCAGCATCTCTTCGGGCGTGGCTTCCGCAGCCTCCGCTGCTTCGCCCTCTTCGGCCGCTCTCGCTGGAGCTGCCTAGGGCACAGGACGGCTTCAGTTGGCTTCAGTGCTTCGGCACAGCCAAAGAGTGCCTCTGAAATCTTGGGGAAAACGTGCACGAACTTCAAATTCTTGTTCGTGTCATGGTGGTACTTGAACTTCCCAGCTGACCCTTGCTCCACGGTTGCGCTGTTGTCCTGCCAAAGGTGGTTCCGAAGTGACAGGCCGTGGCTCGGAACGTGTGCCATGCTCTACTCAGAGCGTCCGCTTGCGCATTCGAGGCGCTTCTTGGCGCTCCTCTTGGAAGCCAACGAGCGTGAGCGCGGAGCAAAAGTGCTTCGGCAGGTCGTCCGAGTATTTCTGGCGTACCAGCTTGCCTCCTCCGACCACGAAGGAGATGCGGACCATCTCCTTCAGGCCGAAGGATGCCGAAGGCCCCGAAGGCGAGAACAGAGGCCCTCCCTTTTCTTGAGTGGTCTCCGACCCGGCCTTCAGAGCCAGGGGTTCGTCGAAGGCGGCCTTCGCCAGCTCGTTGCAGCGCACCTCCAAAGCCAAAAAAAGAGCGACGAGACTCGGAACTTCTACGACCTGGGCGCATCGAAGGCATGGAAGGCATGGAAGGCATCGGGGCGGGGACAGGTGCGCACGGTGCCGTGATTCGATACAGTAAAGTAGAGCTTGGAATCTTCTCTCCAAGCTGGGCAGTGTCCTTGATCCCTGCCTGGCCTGGTCATAGCCACTCAAGTCAAACTCGTCTGACTCTGTAACGCGGCGAATTTTGCCCGCCAAGCCACTCGCCATGGCTCTGACAATTAGGATGACACTTCCGAGATGTCCCAGTACGTCGTATATCACATGAACAAGCAAGGTAGCTGTGGCGGTGAAAGAAACGCTCGCAACAGTTGCCATTCGCAAATCCACTCGCAGGTACCTGTCGCTGCACGGACTGCTCTTGCTGTCTTTGTTGTTCCTGCTGTTGCTCCTGTTGTTTCGAAGGGACTGTCGAGAGGACTGTCGGGTCCGCATGGCTTCTTCACATGTCTTGCAGCCAGATGACTCTTGGCAGGCCCAAAGCCAGTCCAGCAGAAACCCGATGAGAAGATGAGAGAAACTGAACAGATCTCTGCATCTAAGCTGGCCTAGGCCTTCAGCTTGATGAAAGGAAGATCCTGCCACGGGTCAGAGGGAAGCCATCCGCACTCCAAGACTCCAAGAACGCTGGGATCCCCAGTCAGGGCGCTTGAAGACCTGATACCCTAGTCTGTGCCCCGCCACACAGCAGTCGAGGCGAGCGGACACAGCTTGCCATTCCCTTGGAGTGGATCTTCACAATGGGAAGCGCGGGTGGCCTCTGGATCCCACCATTTTCTGAGCTGCATGCAGTTGTAAGCCAAGGCCTACATGGTCAATGCATCCAAAGTCCGGTCGCACGAAATTTGTGATCGAGGCTGCATCCATGAGCCCAAGCAGCGACACGAGGCCAGTCGGCATTACCTTCTGCATCAAAACAGGCATGCTGACGTGCATGTCACGTTTGGTATTGCCCATAACCTCTGTAAGTCCAGGTACCTTCCGCGAGGAGAGGAAACGGGGAAGCATGCCCGCCTTGAGTGACTACTCAGTGACTACTCTGCATGATCTTGTGACCAGGCCCCCACACACACGCACCCGAAAGTCCGCGGGAAGGGCCCTTGGATCCCCGCTGTCAGAGCACCACTGGTGGCTGTGCCAAGAAGGAAAGCAGACTGGCGAAACAAAAGCGCACTGCACAAGATCGACACTGCGCGGAGGGTCTTCCACGCCCCGTGATTTCCGGACCTGCGGATCCTTCTCCACCATCATGCCACTGGCCACCTGATGCAAGAAAGCCGCCGCCGCGTCCCGACGTCCACGCGAGCTTCGCTGAGCGCTGGGCCATGAGCGCTCCGCAACCTCCTCCTCCCAGCAGCGAGGGCCTCTGCGTTAAGTCGAGGGAAGTCTGCCTGGAAGTCAGTTCAGGGACCTGGGCAGCCGGACACGCTGCCTGCCTTGTAAAAACCGTAGGCACCTGCCGACATGACATAGCAACAATTTGGAGTCTCCCGCGGTTGCCCAGGTGTTGGAGGCCGCTCCTTTTTCCCTTGATTTGCTGATTGGATCTATGCCACTCGCATGGCATGCAAGTCGAACCTTACGCTTCTCAAGGATTCCCAGTCGCATGAGCACCAAATCGCCGGCGTAAGGCCAAGGCCAATCAAGGCCCTTCTCAAACTCCTCTACCCACTGCGTGTCGGTTGGTAACTCGTCGATGGGGCTCCACCTGACAACCACACAAACCTCCAGCATCGTGGCTCTTGCGCACCCCGACGTCTCCTCAAGCCACGGAGGTAGTCCACAGCGGCCACACCGAAGGGACCACTTCCACAGCCCGGCACCTGCAATGGCAGCACAAGGATCTGCGCCGCCAAAGAAAAAAAAAACTGGTGGTCTTAGTTTTGGGCCTCTCTGCTGTATCGCCCTTGCTCGCAGGGCGAAGGGGAATAGACATACCTCAGCTGAAGTGTATGCCTCCCTGTCCCGTCCCTTCACGAAAAGGCTCTCTCCACGCAGGCAGAGTGCACCAGCGATGGGGAGCGGACTGACGACAGGCTTTGTAGAAGAGATAGCCTCGGCTTCCATCGGCCCATGAATGCAATTCAGTGCGCTAGGCAACACTAGGCTGCACACCCAACTCTTTCAGCTTTCTGTGGAAGGGATTGAACAGCGATGCCGCCTTTATGAGAGCATGCGACAGTCTCGCAAACCTCTCCGGCAAGCTGCAAAGGTTGCTGGCCTCCAGCTCCATGGAAAGGAATTTCGGCAGAACGGGCTGCCGGCCTCTCTAGCGGGAGCGGACTGTCAGAAGCGCCAAGCTGGGCTCTCAAATCCGGGAGTAAGGCCGGGAGCATCTCTTTGAGATTGCACCAGGGAGTCCAAACAATCGATGGTACTGGATTCCACATCGATCTTCATGTATACCTCTGCGGTGCTCATTCAACTCGAATCTGCGGGCCATTACAAAAGTAAGGTCTCGCACTGCTTGGCCAAACAGGCGCAGCAAATCAGCACATTCGATAGTGCCTGTCAGTGGCAATGCTGTCCACCTCGAGGCCCCCCGAAATGGTTAGCCGAGTCCACGACGGACAGAGGTGGCCACACCTCCGACCTCTTCTACCCATGCCTGTGCATTGCTCTGCTCCTGGTACTGTGAACATCTATGCAGACCAGGCAATCCAGCAGCAACCTACATTCTTACATTTGCAGGTAACTGCGCTGTCCGGACGATCGTCGAAAGCATAGACGGTTGTGGTGCTTCCGCCACCTCCCGGTGGCGCAACTGCCTGAGATGTGTTCGGGACTCCAACGCCCACATGTCACAAGACTCACGACAGCGAAGACTTCAACCCGAATCCACATACGGTGACACATGTAGCTCCGTCGGCACAGACCCTCAAAGGGCAGTTGCCACAACATATGCCGACATTGCAGAATCTTCGTCAAAGGTGACACAATCCAGGCATGACCAAACAACGTCAAGTCCCGAGCAAATGCCAGATTCAGGAATCGCTGTTGATCTACAGAGTTTAATGGCCGTCCTACACCCCGAACACGCAAGGGTAATACTCTGCAAGAAGATCCGCAGCCCGCGACGTAGCAGCAACCTGTCCTACAGCAACCTTTGCTCAGCAAAACTAAGCAACACAAGGAGTGCTTGGAAGCCGATACTCACTACGGTGGCCGCATATGCACAGACAGCCGCTAGCCCCTCATCAATGCGAATCCTCTGCTACTGGCCGAACAAAGAAATAAAGTGGAATGACAGCTGGGCAAGGCAGCTGATGCTCATGATGCTGGTCGGATTGGTTGCAATGCAAGGCTTCGGGACATGTTATTGATTCTAGCCCGGTTGGGTGAAAGGCTTGAGAGCCCGAGAGGTAATGCTTGCCCGGCTCGATGTCAAAAAACCTGTGAGCCAATGCTCAGCTAGCTGCAATGAAGAATTTCATGATGCTGTCTGGGTGAAACACAAGTCGATGGCCCGCAATAACTGGCTTGGGAGCTGATGCTCATGATGCAAGCGGTTGGGTGGAATGAAAGGCTTGGCCGCCGATGCTCACGAATTGACCTGGCTGGTTGGAATAAAATTAAAAGGCTTGAGAACTGATAAAGAATGCTGGCCTAGCAAGCCCAATGACCCTGTTGTGGCTTTGCGCGTACCTGCACGGCAGCGTTCAAGGTCGCGGACTGCTTATATCCCACGAACCAACCAATCCAGCATCATGAGCATCAACTCCCAAGCCCTGCATTGCATCCAATCG